GTCTAGAAATTGGAGAAGCAGCCTAGAAAGTAGGGTGGAAGAGATTGAGGGGAGCCTCCCCTTTCTCTCTCTCTCTCTTCTGCCATTGGAATTGGAATTGGAATTGGATTGAACATTGGTTCTTGTTGGGTAAAAGATTGGGGGATCTTTATCCTTTGTGTTAAATTAATATTTTAACTGGGGAAATAAAAAAGGTACAAAAAATGATAATAGAGTTTTTCCTTTTCTTTTATTTTATAATGCCACGTGGGAATTTAGACTTAATGACATGGGATAATAATGTATTAATTACTGGATTGAAGAATTTCAGATTTTAGAAATATATGTTTTTTATTTTTGAATTTTTTGTTAAATGAATTATATACGACTTCGAGACATGATGAGTATGTATGGTTGGTGTTTTGAAGTTGGCTTAGTATGGGAGGTGAGGAAAATGTAATAAGGGTAAAAAGGGTTTAATTTTTTATTGTTTAGAGATGGAAATGAATATTTTTGCAGTTTAGAAATTATAATGGAATAAATTGGTAGGTTTTTTTTCTTTTTTGAGTTTAACAATACGTGGGAGTCGGTATCTTACAACTCAATTGGTTAAAGTACCATTTTTTAATCAAAAGATTGTGAGTTGTAATTTTTATTTCTATTTGTTATACTAAAAAAATTAATATGTAGGAGTTGGTGAAGCGATGAATTTTTGAACTCCACTATGAAAACTTTCAATTTTTTAAGAGGTAAATAATAATTTGATTTCTTGAATTATGTTTTATGCTTAAATTTAGTTCTGTGTTGCGTTTTTCATGGTTTTCAGACATTGAGAGAGATTTCATATTTCCATTTTTATCTTTATCCTTTATCTTTTTTTTCTGAAAAGATTTTCAAGGTTATTACAACTTAGATCTTCAGATGTTGATTCAAATTTGTTTGTAAATTTGGTATTTAATGTTTCGATAAATTACTGAAATCGGAAAATCATAATATTGAAAGGGATTTTTCTGTTTTAAATGATTTAAAATTGATTAATGGTATAATGATTAGAATAGTTCGTTTTTTCTTTTTTATGAGAAAATGATTAGAATAATTCGTTGGCTATTGGCTTACTTTTTTAATCAATTATTGAGGATCCCTTTGATAGTAACACTAATATGTCTAATTTTAATAAATTTGTTTAATATTAATTTATATATTTTAACATTTTAGTAGGTCTATTATCTTAAAGATTTTAAAAAACAAAGTACCAAAAAAAAAAAATAATACAAAATTTTCTTTACAAACTTGTGCCTTCCAACGAACCCGAGCTCATCCACTTGTAATTTTCGAAAAAAATGGAAACATAAAATTGTTGATATCATTTTGAAAAATATAAAAGATGGGTCTCAAAGGTCAAAGTTTATGATAATTGAAGCTAAGATGAAGTTGGATTGCATTTGGATTTTTGGACAAAATTTTTTTTTGGCAAAAGCATAATTTTCTTATCCACTCCCATTGAATTCTTCCTTGGTTGATTTTGAATCATTTACTCTCAAAATAATTATTTTAGGTACTGTTCTGTCACTTTACTTCATTTTAGTTTTTATATTTTTAAAAAAGTGACAATTTTAATTCATGTTTACACAATTTTAACACAAATTTCGTACAGATCATCTGGAGATGCACAATCATTTAAAAAGATATCAAAAGGGGTAAAGAGAAAGAAAATGGATCCAAATACGCTCACATGTCACATTGTAGAAATAAGACCGATAGAGAGTTCATAAGGGATCATTTACCTTCCACTCTCCAGTACTAATACATCTATTGATCATCTCTCACATATCTGTTTGCACTTTCGGTCTTTTTTCTTTTTCGTTTTTTCTTGGGAATCGAGAGGGAATACGTTGCAGCCATGGCTGGTAGGAAAAATTGTAGGCTAGTGTTGTCGAAGTGCTTCTCGGGCAAGAGCATATGAATGTAGAAGATCCTTTGACTTCTCTGCCCTTCAAAGCAGCATGAGAAATCCACCAAATCTACCTATGCGATTCGCACGAGTCAACTTTTTTTTTTCTTTTTAAAGACGACAAGGATCACAATTTGTCATCAAAAGAAGCAAGAGTCGTCGACTTTTGATTAAGCCGATCTATAGGTCTTCCACAGAAGTTGTCGCTCAATCAAAATAATATAATGAAAATAATGTGGTGTTAAAATTATGATAAAAAAAAATGAGATGAAAAATAAAACAAAAAAGTCATTTTGAAGATGGGAAGATCACTTGGGACACTATTATTACCATTCTTCCAAGTTGCCCCAAAAAGGTCAATAACTCTCATCACAACTTTGGGAATTTTATATATAAAAATGGGTATCGACAAGTTGACAATGACATGGGCATCAATCAAATCTTAGATTGGACAGGATCTCATTCAAGTGTTACTACTTATTTACACTCATAAAATTTATTTATTCATTTTCATTATTTATCCCTTTTTTTAATTTTATTTTTTCCTTGAGTCAGTAGTAGTTATAAATTGATGAGGATTTGACTTGGGTGTTTAATTTTTAATTTTTTTATTTTAGATGTCTGTCAATATTTAAAATCTCTCTTCAAATTTTTAGCATATTTTAAATTTAGTTCATGCAATATGCAACAAACATGGGAGAAAAATAGAGAGAGAGAAAGGTAAATGAGAGATGGGCACGAAAAATATGTCATAAAGAGAAAAGTAGACATGAGAAAAATTATATGCAACGAAAATTGGGAGACATACGTTAAAAGAGGAATAGATAACATCCCTATTTGTTTTATATTTTTAAAAATTAAGTTCGGAGACATTGCTTCCAGATATGTGTTCTTTATTTTAGTATATATTTTTTTATAAATATTTTCTAAACTAAGTTAATTTTGAAAAAAAATTCAAAAAATTACTTTCGATTTTGAAATTTGGTTTAGTATTCAAATATGTTTTCTGGAGAGTTGAAAATTTTACTAAGGAAATTGTATAAAAACAAGTCTAATTTTTTAAATATAAAAAATAAAATAGTTACTCAACCGCGCTAAATGATTGAGAGATGGATATCTTAGAAAAGAAAAATTAGAAAGTAAGAGTACTATTTTAGAGTGAAAAAAAGTTGAGAGAGAAAGAAAGAGAAAAGTTTGAGAGAGAAGTTAGAAAACAAAAAGAGGCGTTGGTGAGATAAAAGACAACATGTAAACGAGAGATAGTGTCAACTTGAAAAGATAAAATTTTGAAAAATAGAAATTTGTTCATAAAAGAATTCAAACTCATAACCTCTTAATCAAAGAAAGGTACTTTAACCATTTGAGCTATGCTCGGTTTGGCAAATACATCTTAATGTTATTGGGACTTGAGACAATAAGAACTTAAAAATTAGTAATTAGTAATTAGTTATTTCTATATGTTTTCGGATATCAAATGTAGACGGTTAACCCATAAAATTAATGGAGGTGCGTAAGCTGGCATAGACACTCACAAATGTTATTATTTTTTTAGTTCAACAATTTATTGTTGCTCAATTAAATGTTAATTCTCCGTGAAAATCTCCATTCAAATTGCTAATATAAGGAGGAGTCTGAAATGTCTATAGTAAATTTCACATTCAAATATATATAGACGCAAGATGATTGAACATGGATTCATTTTTGTAATTGAGATGGATAGTAACCCTCTAATTAGAGTGGCAGATAATGAGATGATTTAAAAGACCATCCATATAAGAAACAAAAATCAAATTCATAAATCTCGACTGCCATTTTAATTCAAACATTTTTATCATTTTAAGCGAAGATTAGGAACAATATTTTCAAAGGAAAAGCTCAAGTAAATCGTTTCAAATGTCAAAAATTTTAAGCAAATTACTAAATCCAAACATGAGATTCAAGAGACCTAAAACACCCTTGACCCTAGTTTTGGCGCCCCTTTTGTTGACTTAAAAAAAATATATTGTATTGAATAATTATAATATTTCCTGGGATAGTTTAGTCTTTTCACTTTTAAAGTTGTATCCAATAAAATTCTTGAAATTTGTATAATTAGATTTTTCCACTTTCAATCATACAATTAGATTTTTCCACTTTCAATCTTAAATTTTGTGTCTAATAAATCATGGACATATCATATCATATACACAATTTATGGTCCTATTAGACACTTTAAAACTCAAGTGAAATTTTAAGAACCTATGGATACAATTTTTTAATTTATTGTAATTTAACCCAATTTTGTCTATTAAATTGTTGAATAATAAAAAATAAAATATGAAAAAATAGAGGTCACTACAATCTTAATATTTCTCTCGTTACACGTTTGCCTATTTTATATTTGGGTTTCTTAAATTTCTTTAAACATGAGAGATACATGGTTTTTTTCCTCTCTTTCTCAACCTTTTCTTAAAATTATATTTAATATTTAACTAAGTAAAAGAATATTTTAAAAACTAATTGAAGACTTCTTTCCCCTGTTTGAAAAATTTCTTAATAAATTTCTCGTGGGTTACAGTGAATTCATCATTACTATTACCATATAAGCTAAAGTTCATCAGCAGCAAGAAAGCCCCTAATATTCTGTCAAAAAAAAAAAAAAGCTCCTAATCTTAAATTCTTTCTCTAATTTTTACAAATATACTAACCTCAGAAAAGAGCTTTATTATCAATGGTTTATACACTGATTCTTTTCAAATATTTAACTGCTACTCTTCTAGTTATTCCTAATTCATAAATTCAAAAGTAGAGCATTGTCCCAACTCTTATTTACCAATTTCTAACTCAATGTATATAACAGTTAAATAATTCAGTATATCGTTTCTTCAGTTGATTTTCTAATACATACACTACACTTTACATTGTTATAACCTACATGGTCAGTGTTAGTTTCCCAACTATTACTACTACTACTACTTACTATTTTCTACCTCGTCTACTCGAGTCAGATGGCAAAATCGGAACGCTTCCCCTCCCCTTGCCTGCAAGACCTTTAATCCCCACAGCAGGCTCGACACGAGCGGGAGAAGCTGATGCGTACCTGTCCTGATCAGCTAGAGGTGAATGACTGAATGCTTCTTCAAATTCACGGGAGATGAGTTAGATTCGGAATGTTTTGCCAAGTGTTCCATACACGCCCCGGATCGCCAAATATGTAATCTGACAACTCATCGGCACTTGTAGAGTCGCGAGTGCTCTCGGTACTGTAGGAACCTTCATCAGAAGTACTGCTGATGAGAGATGAATTATCACTGGATGAGTCCTCTTCAAAAATCCTATGAATCTGGGGATGTCCAAAATGGAAGGAACCAATGCTTCCATGTTCACCAGGATGTTCCTTCACGTATAACTGATGTGTGGAAGTGGTTGTGGTTTTAGTTGCTGCATTCCTTTCATCGGTCCTGGAATGCACTCTGGCCTTAGGATCGGGAGTAACAATGCCGTGCCGTATCAATCTCGGAGCCTTGGGCAGGCACCTGAAATATAGCTGATCAAATCAGAACAGATGGAAGCAAAGAAACTAATTTGATTTTAATAGTTCCCGAGATCGGTTACCTCGAGTAAAGAAGCATGTAAGCCCCTTTCGTCAATACAGTTTCAAGGTCCACAGGAGTTACCTACCAATTACAACAACAAAAAATTATGAAAGAAAGCTTGGAAAAAAAATACATGTTAAAACTGTGAGTTAGATTAGAGGGAAATCCTGGCTTGTCAAATGATTTTTGATAAAGCACTAATTACTAAAAATTTGAAATCTGTTGAAAGGAAAAGAGAAGGCTACTCTAGAAAAATTGTTGAGAATTTTTAATCAATGCCCAAAATGAATCTGGAAGGATGATAAATGAAAAACGACATTGAAACGAATACCGTGCTATCATCAATCTTGAACCACTTATTTTTGACATTCTTGACATAGCACACATAGTGCCCCGAAAATGATGAATTCAAAACATCCAAGTGAACAACCACTCCATAGAGCCGGTATAATAGTGATTTATCACTGGTTCCACGTACAAATGGTGTCAAATCTAATATCTCAGGGAACTTGATAGGCTTATTGAGCTTTCCAAAATTTCCTGACTGCAAATACACAACAGATAAAAATATAAGCAGCTATATACGCAATACAGAGCAAATAGCCCATTAAAATTAAAAGAAAGTACCTGAAAGCGCTTCAATACAACAGTAAGAATATTGGGAGCTTCCAGTATTTTCAATTTCTTTTTTGCCCTTACATAAGATTTGCATCTGAACAATATTGTTGAGATTAATGTCAAGTAAATATATTGTAAAGAAAGACAATTAACAGTTGATGGTCTGACTTGACCGAAGATGTCAAACATAATATAAGTAAAAATTACAAACATCAGGAGAGAAAATAAACACCAACCTGCCACACAGATACTTGTTGTCACCGTCCAAAATCTCTGTGCTGGTAAATTTTCGAAGAGCCTCTTCTAGTCTACCAATATCCCCTTCTATCTCAACTGTAAGGTCCATAATTCTTTCCTGCCGTTCTGACCTGCTCTGGCACCTTGTGCATTTTATCTGTTGATAGAACAATAAAAGTTGAACGTGAAATTCACATTCTGATGACCTATTCTCTTAAAAATTACTGGCTGGTTAAAATTAAGAAAAGTCATAAAAGCACATATACAAGATAATTATGGAATATCATTAATCCCTGTTACATATGCATTATATGTTACAAAAAGAAATAAAATAATCCCTGTTACGTATCTTTCCCTCTAAGAAACAAGTCTCGCTTCCAAGTTCAAGTTTACCTTTGAGAAAAGGTAGCCTCCAAAAGTAAGTCCTACTAAAGTTGTTTCTTCTTCCCAAGAGCCTGATGATTTCACTCCAGATTCCATACAGCAAACAGATTGCATTGTATCAATAGCATACCTGCAATTTTACATTGTCAATATTATTGTTTAACAACATTCAGGAGTTATAACATAATAATTAAGGCATGAGTGACCAAAGACAATTATAGCCACACACCTCAGAAATTCATGTGCGTCCTCTTCCTTCCCATTACCAAGTTGACGGCCAATACTAGGCAGCTGAGAAATTATTCCAACAGGAGATAATGGGGATCTCCCTTCCTTGACTTTCAAAATTAGATTTTCAAACTCACAATTAAAACACCACCCCTTCTTTATACCTGATATTGGAAAAAATATATATACATATATATAATGTAGTGGTCAGAATATTTGGAAGTTTCAACTGCTAAAAAGAGGTCTATTGGTCTTAAACTTACATGATCTGGAATGAAGTCCTTGGAGAAAATAAGCGGTCAGAGGTGGAGTGAATGCAAGGCACTGGAGCACAACATTGGCATAGCAGCTGAAGGAAAGTAGACCAAGAAAGGGTTGAAAAAAATTATAAATATAAGATGCAAGAACCCAAATCAAAAGGGCTACTAAAATCCTAGCTATCTCTCCAAGCAAAAGACCACAAAAAAACAGATTGCACTAGTAATTGATTGACCTACATTCAATTACAACCTTTACAAGGAGCACAAAACCAAATCTAGACTTGGTCTTAGCTTGTTCCATAATACAAAAAATGCACACCTCAGCAACTGAAGGTTGTATGGGTAAGCAAATAAAAGTTTAAATTATAACATGTTACAGGAAGATACTAGAAGTAGGAACATCCACAGTTGAACTCATTCAACATAAAACTAGAAAGGTTCTATCACTACGTTAATGAAATGCACAAAATGTAGAAAATGCCAGTAAACAATCTTCTACAATAACTAAATATGGGAAATACACTGCAAGGAAAATTAAATAAAAATATATGATGTATTCGGGGTCAACCAGTCAAGAACCAGAAGATTGTTCATAATTTCCATAGACAGCAACAACTAGTTTCATAGGATTCAAACAGAAGCCCATATTTTACCTGTTCCCACAATTAATGAGGCCAGCCGGTTGCAATTCCAACTTGTTCCAATTATAAAGCTTAACAAAGTGGTCATAGGAGAAAAGCCCCTAAGAAAGAATATAATCATTAATTTCAAGGCTGAAATAGATTTCACAAAAAGAAAGGCGAAAGTAAAAGTAAACAGAATAAAACCTTATAATTAAACCTTCCTGGAATTTCAGTGACGGTACAAGTATGATTGTTTTTTAACAACTTGGACCCTCTAAACTGATCAACAACTTTCAACATGGATGTTTTCAAGCCGTTTTTTGAGTTCAGAGTAGATGCAACTTGGGAGGGAATGCCAGAAGTTGCCTGCACGCTGTCTACTCTGCCTGACTGTATGCGTGAAAGTGAAACTGATGTCCCACCAGCACTTGAAGGTAGAGAACAATCAGAATCAATTTTTCTTTGTGAGAAATTCCCATCTTTACCCTGTACCTTTGAAATAGTGTCAATAGGGCCACCCACAACTTTACTTGACCTTTCAGATCTCAGGGGTGGTGAGACACTGACATTTGAATCAAGTGCTTTTCCTCCTAAACCATTTAGTGGACGAACACTTGAAGTTGACCTGGATCTAAGTCCATGAGAATTTGATGTTGACTTAGTAAAATTACCAGTCTTTTTATGCCCTTGATGATTGGAAGGCGCAGAGTTGCAGACATTTGAAGGGCTATAATTTTTCGATAAATTTTCCCCATCCAAAGGCTTCTTATCTTTCTTAACTTCTGGGGCACAAGGAAGGGTGATGTTGGATGCATTCTTATCCTCAAAGCTGCGTGCTTGCAAAACATTTGATGAGTTGAATGAAAAAGGCGTTGGAGATTGCAGATTAGACAACTTCCTACTATGGCCTCCACTGAGATTGGGTGAGGCAGACTCACCCAGGGAATCTCTTGTAGATCCCCTATGGTCGAGAGTTCTAGCCCAAAAATCAGAAGAAACCGTCGAACCAGAATCTTTATGATTGCCATTAATTACAAAACTAGAAGAATTAAGGGAAGAATGTGAATCCTTCCCATGACTGCCACTGGATTTAAGCTGATTCAGTTTGCTAGAAGGCAGAAAACTATCCATAGAATCAACCAAGTTACCAAACTTGGGTGACAATGGCTTAGTTTGATCAGCAATGTCAATGCCTCTGGTAATCTCGAGTGAGTCAGGTGTTCCATCAGCAGACATATATCCATCAAATTTCTCGGGTTCTATTTGACTACTACCATCACTAGTAGAAGTATCATCAGATGATTCGCCGCTTATATTGGAAGTAGAGAATCCAGAAAACGATGCAATAGATGAATCAGAAGTAGATGATTCATAATGATCCTGTTCTGTCAATTTCTGCTCGAAATCTGTTCTAGATGCAATAGCCTGATTGGAGATGCTGGGAGGATGGCAATTATCCTTATGGCCTTGACGCCAGTGTATGATTTGACACTTACCAGAACTGAAAAAAGTTCAAAACACTCAATATAGATATAATGAAGAACGGCATACAAAAAATTTGCCAGGCATATCCAAGAAAATAAGACTGAGGACAAGGTTCACAAATAGCACATTAAACATTACTGTTTTATCATTTCCTGATTGACTTCAAGCACACCAATTCCAAAATAATAAATAGTATCCCAACAGCCATGGAAATTCAAATTACAAAGGCAACCTAACTTTGGTGTTATGATTCTGATTAGGAAAAAAAAAAGCTGTCAGGGCTGCTTCATTCCATACATGGAAGTTCACAATGATTGAGTCATGCAGGAAACTAAGCAACACATTATGGGAACAGAAAGACAAGTGACCAAACCTGTTTCCATCTATAACAAGCAATATTTGCTGACACGGAATTTTGGGTGGTGGTATGATTTCCTTAATCAAACTAATAGGCATATTACTCAGTATTGGTATTACAAGAAGAATCTACACTTTTCGACAGTTTAGCGCCTCCATCAAACAGGAGAAATTTTATTTAGTCAAAAATACAAATTAGAAAGCTTCAGATACCTAAAGAAAGAAATAAAAACCTGCAGTCGATTAAATGGAATTCAAAAAATAGATTATTGAATACTCAACCCGCAGTTGCATCTCTTTGGGTACTTAAAATCCAACTTCAAAAGATAAGAAAATTGAGATGCATATACTAGAAACAATATTTCAACTCCAGAAGTAATTGCGTAATGTATTTGAGAAGGTAAGCCAATGCCTCTATGCTTAACCATTTACATTCCCTCAAGAAAGTTTTGCTGACATCAATGTTATAGCCTAGCCTCACCAACAAGTTCGAAGTTGAACTAACATTAGTACGTGAGAGGTTACTTCTCGATCTCCCGTTTACTATAATTAATTCAAGCTAACAAATGTTCAAGAAGAACAATAGATGCATAGTACCCAAATCCTAATGTAACAATATCTCAAACATTAATTTCAAAATGGACCCGATCTAAAACTCAAATGGCGAGGTAATAAAGTTACTACAGGAAATAAGAGAGATACGACCCCTACAACGAAGATTCATAGTTTCAGGTATCGGGAATTGAGGATAAACGTACCAATATCGAACCGCTTTGCACCGAGCGCAGCGTGTGGTCGTTGGACAGTAACAGACCGCGCACTGGTGACCAGGAGGAGTAAACGATGAAGAAGTATACCCAGCGGAGGCCTCAAGCTCAGCTCTATAAGCCTCCTCAGACGACAAAACTAACAAACGATTAATTTCTTCCTTCCTCGCTACTGAGAGCCGCCATTTCCGCCGGATTACCAAGCAGATTACTGGGAAAATCACAAACACGAAGAGGACCTGAAGCCCTATATTTCCCGAAACAAGCATTTATCCGCCGGCACCAACAGACGTCCACCAAAAGCACCACGCCCTAAGCTCCTAACCTCGCCACCACGCATAAATTCCACGATTGTGGTGGT